TATTAGGGCCCCTCTGTAAATTCAGATTTTGAGCTCCAAGCTGGATCTAACAAAACCATAACATGAAATAGGCTTTGGGCCCCCTAGAATCCGCCCCTCTTCGATTCGGGGGTAGCGGAAGGTGTACGTTACGCCACTGAGTGGGCAACTTGTTTGGCTCGCGGGTCACATTGTGGTAGTGGCAGATACTGGAGGGTGCCTTTTTTAAAATGATTGCATTCATTCTAAGAAATAGTAAATATGCTAAATAAAATACTGGCAGTTTTATTAATTATCAATTTATTTGTTGTACTAGTTTCATATTGCATATATAGCTGCAAGCACATATAATTTTAGAATCAGTTTAAAGATACAAATGTACCATATCATACTTTTCTACAATTTTTTTTAAATGAGTGAAATTGCTTGTTTAAATTCTCATCACAGCCTACAAGTTCATCTCAGACAACTTGCATCCGTATTTAATCTTGTTGATCTTCATACAAGAAAAGCTTTGCTCACAAATATATGTTGACTAAAATATAAAGAACAATCTCCCCATAAATTTTTTTCATACACGGACAATTTTCAGCTAGCTGACAAAGACTTGCAAAAGTCATTGTTACAGCATTGTGCATTTTCTTCATAAATTCAAGCTGTAGCTCCTAAAATGCTGTATCAATATCAACAGTAATGGGATAACAAAGCAAATTAAATTTAGGCTTAATTTTCTTAAAAACTTTAAGGTATCCGACTACGTTCGGTTGATTGATTGATTGAATATTAACGTCGCACTGTTCAGCTACACGAGGGCTTTTGGCGACGGACCACGTAATTTTGAACCATGGTCAAGTGACGTGGACGACTCATGAGCTGGCACCCCCTCTCCTAACTACCACACCAACGGGAGGACGTTTCAGCTCTCGACAGATTTAACGTGCATCGCTGCCCTACACGGCGGGTCTTTAGAGGTACTGGGCTAGAACTCGTGACAAGGCATGCCACGATCCGATACCTATACCACTCTGCTTCCGCGGCCACCCGACTACGTTCGGAACCATGATTTTAAAGAAGCGCATAAATGTATAATTTTCATGATATTTAGTGTCACTTAGATTAGAATACATGTATAAAATGGTTTTAAGGACATTATGTTAAAATATAAATTATTTAAATACAATATTTTGGAAAAAAATTAACTTAGAATATCCTTTTTTTCCAAATGTTCTCCTTTTGTAAAAAATGCTTCAATTGTATTAATATTTTGCCTGTATATAGCTCAGACCTCTGTACAGAGGCTCAACTAGAATATTTGAAATATATAACTATGAAACTATGAGTTTTGAAAAATTCAAATTATTTTCAGAGTTACAACCATTTGAAATAATTATCGGCGTATTTTCTTAAAATTTCTCCCTTCTGTTTTCGTAAAACATGGATAAACCGACTTCCAAGTTATGTATTTCAAAAATTCTAGTGGAGCCTCTGTACAGAGGTCTGAGCTGAATACAGGCAAAATATTAATACAATAGAAGTATTTTTTACAAAAGGAGAACATTTGGAAAAAAGGTTATTCTAAGTTAATTATTTGCCAAAATATTGTATTTAAATAATTTTTTTTTTTGTCATAATGTCCTTAAAACAATTTTATATATGTATTCTAATCTAAGTAACACTAAATATCATAAATATTATCCATTTACACGCTTTTGCAAAATCACGGTTCCGAACGTTGTCAGATACCTTAATTCTAGTGACCTCGTCCTCCAAACTCTCTGCAGATGATCTCTTACTAGAAACACCTTCAAGTAGTTTGTTTCCCTAATAGTGAAAAATACCAGACGAATCTTTGATCGCGAACGGAAAAGAAATCTCGGTTCAAAGTGGATTTTCTGACTGCTTTGGGGGGAAGGGCATATAAAAACTCTTTACGGGTCACTAGGTGCCCACCCCTGCACCAGAGCATTATTGATCATGGGGATGAACGTCGATATTTTGAACTAAAGTCAAGTATGAGGACAAAACCTATTTACGTCCTTAATTCTCTTATCTTCCATACTCTCTTGGGGGAAATAAAGACCTAGCTAGATTAAACATTCAAAAGACCTCATATTTCATAAAAATGGTCTTGAGAAAAGATTTTTATTTCTTTTTAAATTAAAATTGCTTTAGAGTTATACCCGAAGGTTTTTGGTAACATATCTCGTAATTTTGAAACACAGTCAGAAGGTTAGAGCTTAGAGAGAATCGCGCGGAGCGGCCGCGGTAGCCGAGTGGTATAGGTATCGGACCGTGGCTTGCCTTGTCACGAGTTCGAGCCCAGTACCACTAAAGACCCGCCGTGTAGGGCAGCTATGCACGTTAAATCTGTCGAGAGCTGAAACGTCCTCCCGTTGGTGTGGTGTGGTAGTTAGGAGAGGGGGTACCAGCTTAGGTGTCGTCCACGTCACTTGACCATGGTTCAAAATTACGTGGTCCGTCGCCAAAAGCCCTCGTGTTGCTGAACAGTGCGACGTTAATATTCAATCAATAGAGAGAATCGGAGCTACTCTCTTTAATATTTTAATTTAAATGCTATACCACATATGAAATTTTAAGAGATATTGAACTTCACACATAAAACAATCCTTTTTTTTTGAGAAATTGGGATACAGGGCTGGCTCTAGCAGTTTTGCCGCCCCGGATAAAAATGGAAAATGTCGTCCCTCTCTCCAATGCCGCCCTTCTCTCTCTATCATATATATATATATATATATATATTATTTTAGATTTTAAAAGATTCAAAACAATTTGAAATTAAGGATGTAATTACTTGTTATTATTTCAAACGAATGAAATGGAAGATAAGGAATCGTCAATTTAAGCAGTTCAATTTCTTCGAAAAATAGTCTACTAATGGTGGGGACCACAAGCGTTTGTTTTAATTTATAATAACTACACTCAAGACTAAAATAAAGCATCTCCTGTGGCTCTGTATTTAGCCAAACCTCTTATTACCCTTGTCCCCTTTTGGATAGCTGGAACTGGACATCATAAGGGTGAAAGGAATGTCACTTGTGACCTCACTCCGGAATGGGGAGAAAGTTACTAGTTAAAGATGTGTAAACACATATTAAACTTTGTGCTTTAACGTATACTCCCGCCTCAAACCCTTCAAGTTGCAACATTAAAGAAAACTGTCATTAAATATAGAGAATAAAAAGTTAAAAAAATTAAGATACGTTAAATGAAATACCGAATTCAGACCCAATAACATTTCAGAAAGTATATCAAATTTTCTGTAACAAAAAAATTTATTTTTCAAATTTGATCAAAATGCCGCCCTTAAAATTTGCCACGCCGGGCAAGGGTCCGGTTTATCCGGCCCTAGAGCCGCCCCTGCGGGACAAATTACTAAAAAGGCATCAAACTATACAACTGTTATGTAAAAACTAAATAAGGGCAAATTGACTTCTTTGAATAAAAAAAAAATAGTAAATGTTTTATTTAAACTGAAGGAAAAAGAAGCTATATAAAGCATTTAGCTATACTTGGAAGAAATAATATTGAATTTAAATGCAACGATTGTGAGATAAATAATGAATATGTATTTGTTAAGAAAATATTTCTCTATTCTTTTTCCTTTCCGAAATGATTTACTATTGTTTTTCATGCTTTATTAAAATATTAAGTATTTTTCAGTATGCAAATAAAATATAATTAAATACTCTGCGGAGGAGAACATATTGGAGAAAATCAAGAACTCTTCATATTAAAATAAAGTTCCTTCAAGGCAAAATTAATTGCGTTTGTAAAGAATAAATTTTGTATATATAATATCTGGATAAATAAACTCATTTTCGAGAGGTTCAAATAAACTGTGTGTTTAGTAAAGCACAAATTTTTTTCTTTTCTTTTCTTTGTTAAAAAAGGGGTTTGTTTCTTTACATTTGTCTCAAAGATTAATTTTGAAAGGGAAATGTCTAGATTAAATCACATTTTCATTAATATAGAAATAAGTAATTCTTAATTTTTTCTTATATTAACTAACGCTGAATTCTTTTAGATAAAAAGAACAACATTTTCTTTAACTTAAAAAGAAAAAGTTTCCTTTTTCTTAAGCCGACTTAAGTTTATGGTAATGTAGGGAACAGAAGTTTGAAGCTATTGCTAAGAATAAATAATTTTTTAAAGAAATATATTTAAAAATAAATAAAGAATTCTAACTTAAAAAAAAAACTCTGCTATAATATTTTGAAAACTGGAAAAAGTTTCTATATCTGTTTTGGAAAAAAAACTTTATATAAAAAATATGTATTGTGATATGCATTCAGTTCAAGTTAAATTGCGTTTGTAAATAAGAAGAGCAAATGCTAAGAAAGGCTTAAGAAAACGAATAAACAAAACAGAACAAACAAGTCACGATTTTTGTAAGAAGCGACCCAAAGTATTTTGAAAAAATCAGATGGTTTAAAAAATTATTGAGAAGAAATTTTGAACAAGAGATCTGAGTTATACAGAAAAATGTTTTACCTGCTTTTTGGTTTTAGCGATACTGCATAAACTCCCTTTTTTGCATTGCTTCTTTTAGCAAGGTTATTACCAAAAGAATTCTGTCAACACCTGAATTTTATATATGTATAAGTAAAATAAAAAAGATTTGTTGGGTAAATTGGTTTTATACATAAAAGTAAAATACAGTCTTTTTATGCTGAATTAGAATTATGATAATACGTTGTTGTTGAAATCTAAACGACACAATGTGTAATTTAGCAAGTAATATAAAAAAAAATTAAGTCATTCCTATTTAGGTTAAAAAAGAAAAATTTTATTTTAGTTACTTTTTACTAAATAGTCACAATTAATATAAATATGTATACATATGACAGAATCACACAATATTAAGTGACAAAATAGAAAGCAATTTTCCATCTTCCTTTCTATATATAATGTTAGACTATTTTTTTTACTATTCATTCAGTAATTAAATTTAATTATTCTTAAGATGGTATAGTAAAAAAGAAATCACATCCTCAGAAATTAGGCCATCCCAGGTGAAATTCGAACCCACGCCCTTTGGATGAGAAGTCCAACACGCTATCCCTTACGCTCCTGGGCCACAACGGAAGGTTTTCCTTTCTATATTTGTTGTTGGACTATTATTTTTGTTTGTTACTATTTATTCATTTTTTAATTTAATTAATGAATTAATATTTGAAAAAACTGTATTAACACAAGTGTTATCCACTACAAGTTTAAAAAATGTATTTGAACTTGAAGGATGAATAGAGAAAGTATTTTATTAACAATGGAAAATTTGAACAAGATTATATAATATATATATATATATATATATATATATATATATATATATATATATAAGTAAGTCTTACTACTTACTATTGCATGGGGAAATTTAAATCTATCTGATGAATACTAGTAAGCTTATATTACCTTTTGCATCGTTATATTTTATTAGTATAGTGATCTAGTAGGCTTTTTTTTTATCGTTATATTTTATTAGTATAGTGATTTTATTTGTAATATTTAAATTTCTTTTAATATTATTCTTTCGTTTCCCTTTGGCTCAGTGGTTTAGGCAAATTACAGGTGAAGGTTGCTAGCCCTAAAACTTGTTTAAACCTGCAATCTTGGCTCCTAAGGCCAAGAGTTTGTTATTGTACCACTGTGCCTAATATTTCCTATCTTGAATAATTATACTTAGGTTCTATAGCTATCTGTATATATATATAGAGAGAGAGATCACTGTAGGTTCTAGTACTTCTTCACTGTTATTTTATATTACTATATATATATATATGTTTTATATATGTGTTTTATATATATATAATATAGGGAGAGAGAGTGAACTAATAGTAGGCATTGAAAAATGGCATTTCTTTCACTTGATAACGAACAGAAAAAATTTCATTCTACAATAGAGTTTTATTCATTCTTTCCTTTTACTGCAGGTACCATATTTTTCAATAGATAACATTTCAAGGCATTTAATACAACAAAGCACATCACCGAATTTAACTGTGTCTAATTAAAGCATAATGTACTTGGTCGTAACATATTTGATCATCCAACAAATGCATTCCGTTTCATAAATGCATACATGTATATGGACATTTGACATGCAGGTGCTTCTCTCGCGATATATTAATTACGACACGTATAATGAGATACAATTAGTGGGTCAGACAGTAGATTGAGAAGGTTATTTGAATTGTATCAAAGGGATCCCATTTCTGAAATTATTTGCTTACGAACGTAACTAAAATTAGATAAATTTAAAATGTGACTTACAAAGCGATTATATAATATTACCACCTCTAAGACTTTAAATTGAATTTTATTTGAAAGTATTGACACATTATCTAAGTGACACACACACAAAAAAAGAATTCATTACGTATTATTGTAATCTCTCTCCAAAGGTATGCTAAAAGAGAAATATTACTTTTCATTTGAGTTTATGACGGTGACTAAATAAGCCTATAGACAGCTATTCTTTCTTTTTTAATTTTATTAATTCTTTAGCATTAAAACAGTTTTAAGCATTATTGGACCCTTCGAAGAAGCGAAACAGCAAAAGAAACAAAAATTTGCGAATTTGATATATGTTTTTGAAACGAGTTGCAATATATACATCGCAAGAGATGATATGTTAATACAAAGCATACGGGTCATGAGTTTTACGGGAGTATGGTCTTCCAGTAAAATAGCGATAAATCGATAAATGCTTCGTTTTTCTAAACCAGTGATTCTCAACTTTCTTTGTTGTGATACACTTTTAAAATTTGGTGGTACACTAACAATAAAATAAGTTTAAAAGAATATTACTTATTTATAATAACACTATGTATAAAAGATTATGATAATAATTTTCAATGTTAAGTAAAATATATACGACAAAAGCAACACAATGTTTATTGAGTAGTTAATTAAAGAAAGTATTCAATGTGAAATTTGAGCATGATGATTTTTGATTTCATTTATATTTGGTTATATAATGCCATTCTCATTTCATCATCTACATTTAAAAGTTTCGCTTTTTTCTTTTTCATTTATATATTTGTTGATGCTAAAAATCCGAATTCACACAAATAAGACGTAGAAAATTGTAACTATTTTTAAACCTTTTTGGGCTATTATGGGATTATTGCCTCAAATGTTAATCCAAAATGAATTGATTGACTCTTCCAAATACTTTGAAATTAAATCTGTATTATTACAGAATGAAATTAGTTTTTCCTCTTCATTCAAAGTTAATAACTCAAATGCAGATGTATCCCTTATCACACACAAATGAGGATTACGAACCTAATCAAATTTTTTGTTATATATAAAATTTGGGAAGTAATGAATAACTCTCACCTCAAGTGTTGTCAAATGGTCAATAACAATTTTATGAATAGTTTATCTCTCTAAGCCGGCCGAATGATTTAGTTCCGGAATTTTTTCAGAGTATAATTATAATAATTTTAAAAAAAATTTGGCGGTACACAAAAGTGCCGCAGCACAGTGGTTAAGAATCTCTCACTGTTTTTTCTATCTTTCTTTTTCTTTTTTTATTTATACGACGCGATCCAAAGTACAAATTTACTAAATACGTACTTTTTATGACCTATACTCTAGTGACAGACATTAAAAAATGTAATGTACGTTTCTCGCAAGTAATGTGTTCAGTTATAAAAGAATTAAATAGTTCACACACACACATCAAAATATAATTCCATTTGAAATATATTACGATCTTAAAATTTTCTGACATTACTTCCATTATTCATTTAACGAGCAAAGAAATGCAGAAATCCTAAATAAATGACACGCAATAAAACTTTAAAACGCTGCATAATTCATCTTCACATCATTTTACTGCGCCACTGAATTAAAAGGAATTCGCGCACTGAAGTTTAATTAACTTACTTCATTATTTGATTCGCAGTGAGGCAACATGAATGGGTTTCGTAATGAATTGAAATTTTTATTTCATATCTCAATAAAATTATTATTTTTATTATATTTAATCGTTATTCTCCATCTGTTTTCTAATTTGGATTTACTTTCGTTTGCATATCATTACGCTGCCTTTAAAAAATCAACAAATATATGATGAATATATTTTTCTAAAAGGAAATGTAGCTATTTTTCATGTTTTTGTACGATCCGGTTCAGCATCAAATTGCAGTATTACTCATTTTAGGATCTTTTCAACATTTTACAGCTGTTTGTGAAAGCGATTGTAATTTTGCAAAAATTTTGGCTTCAGTACCTTTGGAAATAATTTATGGCTAAGAAATGAGGGTATGTTTTTAATGTTGTAGATATTGATACATATTACGCGACTTCACACATGTTCGATTAAAATTCATACAATTATAAACATTTTATTATAATTTAAAAATGATACTTAAAAAAGAAGCTTTTTTTTTTCTGCGACTTTAAGTCGCAATAAAATTTTCTTATCATTGCACATTACCTCATAACGATTAGATTTTCTCTTTGAGGATATATATGGGGTTGTGTACAACATCATATATATATCATACTATACTATATATATATATATATATATATATATATATATATATATATATATATATATATATATATATTTAAGTAAGTAATTATATGAGGTGTATATTTATTGCACTTTTGTATTTTAACGTTTCTCAAAAACACATAAGCTGCCGCATGTTTATGTATTTTTCAACGTAAAAGTGTAAGCGTATTGTAGATTTTATAGTAAATAAAAAAACAATAAATTATATTTCCTTTTATTTTAATATTACAAATAGTTTTGCTTTCGAGAATACTTCGCTTCTATTTGTTATGCATGCTTATTAGTGCAATTATTTATTTCATCAATCACATTTTTCATATCAGTCAATTTCTGTCAAGAGTCGGTTTCAGAAGAATTAATGTATTTTTGGTCCTACCAGTTTTTAAAAAATATTATTGTTCTTGATTTTTCCAAGATTTTTAGAACTTCATTTTTTTAAATTTTAATATTGTCTTTTTATAAGTATATTTTAATTTATCATTTATCCTTTTTTCCCCACATACAACGTATTATCATTATTATTTTGAGCAATCTCTATCTGATATGTTTATTTCAGAATCACTCTACAGTGATTATCTTTTTCAAAATTTTCATCGCTCCCAACTGGCTCAAAATAGAGAAATTAAATTTCTTCCACGCTATCATTATTTCTGTTTTTATTCAAATTTTGGGAAAATAACAGGTAAAAATAAAGCTGAATAACCTGTCGTTGTAAGAAATGATATCAATATTATTCAAAAGCATATTTTGACTTAAAAAAATTGTTTTCTGTCATAATTAAGTATAAGTTGCAAAATAACTTATTAAAAAACTAGAGCCTTACAGGCATAATTAGTTTTTGCTTTAAGCCTTTACAAACTTCAAATATGTTTTTCTCAGACTTTTAGTGTGAAGTGTTTTCTAATTTCTAAGGCTTTTTTTTTTCTGTTTAAGATAGAGTCTTGAAATTTTTTTTAGATACTCCCAAATATACGTTCTGTAAAAGTTAGTTTGAATTTACGTCTAAGAGCTCTAGTTATTTTATTAAAAAATGCTAAAGTTAATATTTTTAAAAAAATTCATGCTTTTTTTTCAGGTTTAGCTAAAAAAATTATTAAAATTCAACAAGGAAACAGATTTTTAATATCATACTAACTTTTTTGTTTCTAATAACCTAAGAAATACAAATCACTTAAAATAATTAAAATTTTTAAAAAATTTAGCATTTTATAAAAGTTTTAAAAAAACTTAAAACATGTTTAATTTCTTAAAATTGTGAAATAAGGAAATGTCAAACTGACTTATTATTTTCAGAATTAATTTAATAACATAATATAAATATAAAACATACATTTTTTTTACTGTTACTGTCTCCAAAAAATTTATTTGAAAAAGGGTACTGTTTAGTCTTAAGATCAAAAATCTAAATTTCGTAAAAGAACATCTGTAAAAATAATTATGAACAAAAACCATTTGAAGTTATTAATAATTCTGTTTTTAGCTATATACTTTCATTTTTTTTCTTATTTTCATTTTTTAAACAGTATTAAGTTATAAATTTTCAGAAC